AGCATGTCTTTCGTCAAGCCTCTGCTTGGTACGACCAAGACCTTACACAAACCCAACGCCAAGTCACTCCATGCGGTCATCCAAAGATATGTTGATAGCAAGGAGAAATCCAAGCAATCAAGTAGTGGCCCTGAACAAGAGAGGGAATATTGGCCTCTCATCAAGGTTGTCAGGATCCGCACGAAAGCAGATGTGCTATCGACCGGAGCTATCCTTGTTGATCTGGTAAATCCTACTAACCATTGACGTCTAACAATTCCATGCTAACATGTGCTTATAGCCAGGTGTTGCGGATTCTAATGCCGCTCGCGCGGCGATCGCTGGGAAATACATCGAGAAATGCGACGCTATCTGGGTAGTTGCCAGCATCGTTCGAGCAATCGATGATAAGGCTCCCCAGGACTTACTTGGGCAGTCGTTCAAGCGGCAGTTGAAATTTGACGGCACGTATTCGAAGATCACTTTCATCTGCTCGAAGACCGATGACGTCTTGATAGATGAAGCGTCAATGGTCTTCGGCCTGGACAAGGAACTTGAAGACCTTCAAACCAAGCAAAACACGCTCTTCGAATGGCAGTCGACGAGTTCTGAGCAACTTGCCAAAGACTCCGAACGTTTGAAGAGTCTTTCCACATACAACACACAGCTTGATAAGCATCTCGAACAGTGGGAAAAGGCTCGAGTGCGCCAAAGCAGCGGTCAGGAGGCTCGAGCTCCTAAGGAGATTAATACCACGAAACGCAAGGCGCCGCCTTCTCATCTTGTCATGAGAAAACGGCTCAGGTCTGCCCCAGAAACACCAGTCGATGAAGCGTCTCTTCGGTATACCGCCGCGGCCGACTACTGGGACAACTTGCAAAGAGACATTCCCAAGTTTGAAGAAAAGCAGTTGATTACCGAGGAGGACACCATGTCCATGATGGAGTTCTTGAGAGCTCAAAAAGTCGCTGCAGTTGAAGAAATGGAGCACCTCGAGCAGCGATCTAGCGATGAGGAGGTGCGTGGGCTTGAGCTTGAAGAGGCATCCCTCGATGCGGAGAGCCGCCTGGTTTCCTTGTGCATCAGCAAGCGAAACGACTATTCTCGCGATGCTATTCGCGAGTCGTTTGCTTTGGGCTTAAAACAGTAAGTTTCTTTGGTTCCTCATGCCTACAGGAGACTAACTGTTTCGTAGACTCGACGACCTCGATGCTCAGCGAGACGATCCCGAAACCTTCGACCCTGACGAAGAAGTTCGAGACTATGACCTAATTGCAAGCTCTCTTCCTATCTTCTGTGTCTGTAGCCGCGCGTATCAAGCACTCATAGGCAAGCTCAGTACCAGGAGTAACCTTGAAGGGTTTGACAGTGCGGAAACCACCGAAATACCCCAGCTTGTCCAGCATGCGAAGAACTTGACTGAAGCGATCCGTATGAAGGAAAATAAGGTATTTTTGAACAACGCACTTCAGGTCCTCAACTCACTCTATATTTGGTCTTCCGAACACGACTTTGAATCGGATCTCACCGAAGAAGAGAAGCAATCTGAAATGCTGAAAGTCAAGGACTCTTTAGCGGAGTTAGAAGAGGTACGAATTCCGAGCCTGGTGGCACTGCACTCGAGTCCCCAAAGTCTAATGCTGAACCACACAGGGTTTGAGGGTCGCTATCGGTGATTTTTTTCATGGTTGCAACAAGATCTTGCAGAAGCGTCTTTTCGACCGTTTCGACAAATTGACCCGGAAGGCAGCCAATCGTGCCCCAACCACTGCTGCGAAATGGTCGAGCAAAGATGGCCGAGGCTTACATTGCAATACCTACCGAGCGGTTTGTCGTCGACGGTACGTTTACCCTACGGTCCATTTGCTATAGTAGCTGACAAGGAGTAGCGGAGACTTTTCATCCAGAGCAAAACCCATCAACTTCAATGAAGGTAGGTCGGATACAATATGAACTTTAAGCGGGGACATACTGGCTGACTGGGTATACAGAGCTCGTCACTCCGCTAACCCAAGGTGTTGCGGATGCCTGGGAGTTGGTCTTCGAACGCAAAATCCCTCGTGCCCTTGACACTTTCGCGACAACGTCACAGAACTTACTCCAAGAGTTTCGTGGCTCGAGTAAGAAGAACCTGGTTCCCAAAGCTACATACACCACTAAGGCTATGCTACAAAGCCAGCTCAAGGCTCGCGCCGAGGGAATCACCTACATGATCTCCTCGTTCAAGCAAGAGGCGACAGCTATGCAGCGGGATGCTAGCCGTGGCTTTGTTGAAGCTATCCAGCAGGGGATGATCCCCATTTACGACGAGTGCGCGAATGACCATGGTGGGTAGTTTGATGCCACGTGGAACTGAGTACCAGCTAACATCAACAACAGGCCGCGGTGTTTATGCTCGTATAGAGAAGGCCATGCTGGATGAACTCCGAACCAATGGCTTTCATATCATGAGCGGTGCTCCTCGTCCAGTCACGCAGAAACTGACCAACATGTGCGACAAACTGCAGACCGACATTGAAGGCAAGGTTGCCGCTCTGCTTGACGGCTTAACCTCTGACTACAGAAACGTCATCCTTGGGCGTGACGTTACAGCGGAGTCCAAGCCTATCAGAGAAGAAATTGCCGAACTTCTCGAAACCCTCGACGGCCGTTTCGCACCTTGATCCACCCATATTCATGACTCCGCCGATCCATGGACTGAGCTAGTCTAGCTTTGCATCAACCATTCGCCAGCAAACAATCCTTTTCCGACGATACAGCCGCCAGTCTGCGGGAAACAAGTTACTTCCCGAAGGCGACCTCGTCAGACTCACATCGATCTGTGGTCGTAACCATCATGGCCACTTCTGCGCCTGATCACTAAGGCTCTCGTCCCTGGGACCTGGGTACAGGTCAACTGCCACTTGAAGCCGCGTTATTCTGACTCTCCCACCCAATGAAGCATGATCGGGCTCAATCCTAGAGCGAAATATCAGAGCCGCCAGATAAATGAAAATAGGGATGAGAATGTTTACCGACTTTTGCTCTTGCTAGTATAGTCTCGCATTCCATAGGAATCCAATCTCATGAAAACTGAAAGGTGGTCGTAAAACACGTGGTGACGTATTGCGCCTTTGGCATACGTGCTAAGTCGTGTGATGTGCGCTACCGGCTTTGGAATGGGGCACGCAGGCTTCCATGTACCGTGAGAGCGATCAAAGTCTCCTCGTCACCGTGAGAGTTCTCCATCCCGTGGATACGATAGTCCATGGCAGCCAACAATGCGATGATGTACGGTGAGATATTCCCAAGGATGATGCATTAGAGACTCAGACAACTACACCATGTATAGCTAAAGCAACGTGACAGGCAACGTGATATCCGGCGAGGTACAGTTTTGAAGATGATAGCCCGGGACCTCGCTCTCGACGCAGGTCAAGTCAAGCGTCCCGTTCGCAACCCCGGTGTAAGCAACCCTATGCGCGCCGGAACCACAGCACGTCAGCCCAAGCTCCCCGTCCCAAGCGCGGTGTCCTCGCCCGCACGCACGCGGGGTACGGAAAGGTGGGGGGGGGGGGGGGGGGGGGGGGGGAGAAGAAGAAGAAGGAGAAGAGCACCCACAGGCGGCCGTCCTCATCATGGCAGAACCAAGTCTGGTTCACCGCGACGGTAGCGGTAGCGGCGGCGTCGGACCGCGCGAACCCGGCGCCGGTGGCGATGGTGAAGCGGTGGATGCCGTCGGAGTCCTTGCGGTCGGCGCAGGCCTGCCAGGGCATCTCTTCCTCGCCGCCCGAGGCCAGGGGAAAGGCGCAGGCGGTCTCGACGCCGGTGGCGGCGTTGGCCACCGCGAACGCCACCTGCGCCAGCCGCCGCGGGCCGTCCCCGCCCTGCGACGGCAGCGCCGTCCAGGTCCCCGCGCTCACGAAGCGCAGCCCGAAGGCCGTGCCCGCGGCCGAGGCCCCCGCGCACTCCACGTCCCCGTCCCCGTCCCTGGCCACGGACCGCGGGGCCGACGCGTCGAGGGCGCGCGCCCGCGCGAGGGCGGCGGCGAGCGAGGCCGGGGCGGCGGCGGCGCGGGGGGGCGCGCCCGCGAGGAGGCCGAGCGTCAGCGTCAGCGTCGTCGGCGTCGGCGGCTTCATGGTCACGGTTCGGTTCGGTGCGGCCGCTCACGGAAGAAGACGGTTGCGGTCCGTGGTGATGAAGCAGCAGCAGCAGCAGCGCCGTGGTCGCGAGCTTTCTTGCTTTACCTAGGTAGGTAGATGGGTACCCAAGCATCCACCCCCCTCCCAGCTCTCTCTCACTCACGTCACCGAGCAGCAGCAGCGCCCGATCCCAGCGTCCCGGCTTTCCCAGGACGGGCGAAGGCCAGCAGCCAACGAAAGGCCCATTCGCGCGGTAGGACCGGCGATGCGGGGGTAAGTAATATGGAAGATGCAACCGCGCGAGTGAACCAGTCGTGCGCGGCGCGGATGGATGGATGGATGGATGGATGGATGCTGGCTGGCTATTTAGCCAGTTCCACGGGGCGGCTGCATCTGGCCTTTGTCCCTTGGCGCGCAACGAAGAGGACGTTGATCTTCGGGTGGGAGCGAGCAGTTGGAGAGTTCGAGGAAGGGTCTGCTAGTGGTAATGGTGTGTCCCTCGCGGTCGAGGCGGTCATTTTCAATGCGCTCGATTGACTCTCGCCTTGACAGAAATGCGTCGATGCCCCAGTGGGTGCTCGCTCTGGTGTGGGTGGCTCTTATACGATGTTCTTCGGTGGTTTCCTGTGCTGCGTTGAATGCCTCTCCCAGGCCAGTCTCATCAAGCTTGACCATAGTGAGTGATTATGCATTGCAATTTCAGCACTTACATCCGAGTGGTCATGTTGCCCGTTGCTTTCGAAGCTCCTCGGCGCTCCCTTCACTGGGCATATATCCACGCATAATTAAGGGGAAATCACCGAACAAACAAAAAAGGCACCAGCGCCGAGGCTTATTATCATAGCGTGTAATGCCAGTACGGCGATTGCTGAAGGGAAGAAGAACAAAAGAAATATCGACCGACACCTGCAGGATTCGAACCTGCGCTCCCGAAGGAAATGCCTAGGCTAGCTATATCGTGGGATAGAGAATAGCAGGGCATCGCGTTAACCTCTCCGCCAAAGTGTCACGGTTGCGCTCCGTAAGTCGCCGGCTTGATGGGGCGGTGGATGAGCTGGCTTCTTAAGCAGGCTTATTATATATACTACTTACTACAGTCTACGCTAGACGGTCCCCATAACCCCAGTCTTCCTCCGCCCGCGATGACATGGTTGATTGCTCGTCTCGTTCATACCGGACAAACCACCCTCGGCGCCGCGGGTAGGCAGGCATAGGCTACTCCCGCTATGCACCAGTGCTGATTTACACGGATCTCAGGTCTCTGACGCCTGGTCCACAGCAATCCGGATCCTGGGCGAGAGAGCCATGGTGCTACGAGGTCAGTCTGGGCTTCAGGAGCGTTGTCCCGTATGGGATGAGAAGCGGCACTATCGCCGGAGCTGCGAGAAGATGTGATCTCCTTCGCTGATGACCCGGATGAGTGTCGCAAGACTAGCGACGGTAGCCGCCTGCATTAGCCGTGATGAGTCAATGGGCCTGAGGTCAAGGCCTCCGTGTCTATGCCATTCACGAGTAACGCAGCGGGGAGTGAAAGTGACGTGCCAACGCGCCCGCTACGGGATCCCGAGATCCTGGGAGTTGGCAACAAGCAAGTCCCAGTCACCAGAGCACACCGCAAGCACCGATCCCCTGCGGCAGTTTGGGGGGGAGAGGGGGCCGTCCGATGTTGTCGAGACTGACTGACTGACCAGCAGTCCCGAGCCAGCGACTCCGGCGGGATGTACCGCAGAGCCCGGCGATGCTTTGCTCGAAGCCGTGCCGGAGCGCGGGATAGCCTATGCGTCGAGAACTTCCCATTCACAGCGCGATCCTACGGTACCTGTCGTCCAATTGTCGCTTGCCGCCTTCCGAGGGCATCATCTGCGGGCTGACAAACCGCGCACCTCGGTGCCGAGATCCCCAGGTCGGGGATCCATGGTCATTCGCCAGAACGACGCATCCATCATGACAAACAAGCAAGGCGGTGGCACGACGGTATTCACTCTCGGCGGGGAGGAGGGGAGGTTGCGATGGGACGAAAGCCGCCGGGTGCGGGCGGGCGTGGTTTGGATGGACGGGTAGGCTACCTACTTACCTCCTACCCAGGACGGGAAGCATATATATAAGGGCCCGGTGCCCTCTCGCCTCTAGTCTGGCGTGGTTTGCTGGACCACGCCCAACGCTTTTCACCGAACCGACATCACCCGCCAGCCAGCCGGCCACACCAAAAGTCTAAAACCAAACATGAAATTCGCGTCCGCCGCCGTGCTGCTCGTCGCCGGCCTCGTGCCGGTGCTGGCGCTGCCCTCCTCGTCCGACAGCTTCCCTCCCCTGGTATGGATACACCCGCTCGCTCCCTTGGTTGGTTCGGTACGCTAACGTCGGACTTCCAGGTCGAGAAACGCTGCGTCGGCTCCGGCGGCTCTTGTGCCATCAGCAGCGACTGCTGTGCGGGGATCTGCATCTGCCAGGGCGGGTGCGATTGTCTTGGCTTCCAGGAGGCTAGGGAGTTGCTTGACGAGATGAGCCAGTGAGACGGAGAGGAGTTGGTTCCGAGATTTGGGGGAGGCAAAAAGCGAACTATGGCCGCTTGATGTTGGTGAAGGGTGTCGCAGCTACAGTATGCATCTTCATCACAGACAAATAGGACTATGAGAGTCCCGTCTCCCAAGATACGAAGCCCACTCGGAAGATGATATTGTACGGTGTGCCTGAGGCCTCTTCCTGTTGGTGAATCACGGGATAAGGCTGTGTGAATGTGATGGGGGCCTATGATACACGGGCACGAGATATCCGAAACCCATGAACAGTCCGGGCCACCCAGACAGTGTAAGTGTAGCACACGCGAGGTCGTAAAGAATCGCAATGCTTGAATTCAACCTTGTATAACCTAATCTGTCGTATCGCACAAGCACAATAGACATTATTTCTTGCTCTTCTATGCTCTTTCTTCTAGTCCAAACGCCATATTATATACCAGGCAGTCCAATGACATCTCTCAGGGCCGGTATCGCGCGGGGGAGGATGTAGATAGGGTAGATAGCCATGGAGGCGACTACGAGGCCGGTGAGCTGTGAATGTGCCTTCGTTAGCGTACCCTCAGAGCAACCGAGCAGGCTGTAGCAAACTCACCTTCTCGAACCACGTATGGAAGTAGATCGCCGTCATGAGCAGCATCCATCCGCACAGGCCAACCACGGCCGACGCGAATTTCCCCGGAACGCCCATGCTGACAGTCTCGGGGCTTCCTTCAGAGTCCTTCTCGCGCTCGACCCGCGCGCTTTTCACCGCCCCATCCGGCATGACGATGGTCCTGTCGTCCGTGTACCGGCCCGAGGTGAGAGCAGGCAGGACAACCCAGCCGGCCTCCTGGACGAGGAAGAAGCTGCCGAGGACGAGGAGGAAGACGTGTCCCGAGATGTCGTGCCCACCGCTCCAGCGCCCGCCCGCAGCCCGGCACGCCGCCGCCGTGAGGACCTCAGCCTTGTCCGCGACGCCCTCGGCGACGGCCTCGGTGGCGACCTCGCACTTGCCGCCGGTGAAGCGGAAGCCGCGGTCGATGATGGGGGGCCCGAAGCACCACTGGGTGACCAGGAACCACCAGGTGGTCACCAGGACCCATCTCAAGGCCGCTTTGAGCTGTCGCCCGCCGCCCCCGCTCCCCTTGCCCACGGCAGGGTGCGCGAGGGCGAAGACGGAGAAGGCGGCCGAGATCCACGCCCAGCCGCGCTTGACGAAGAGGATGTTGAACAGATTCGACTTCTGCGCGAAGTACGACGGCGCGATGTCGCCCTGCACGTGCGCGTGCCCCGTGACGTCGTAGGGCGCCGCGCGCGTCTGCGGGCTCAGCACCGAGAAGAGCGCGCCGAAGCCGAGGAGGACGGGGTACGTGAGGAGGATGGCGCGCTCGAGCGGAGTCGGGAGGAGGGGCGGGTTGCGTCTCGCGTTCTTGCCGGTGGTCTTCGACGACGACGACGACGACGACGGCGAAGAGTATTCCGGGATCGTCTTGTTCGCGGTAGGGGACGTTGGGCCGTGGGCCTCGTCGCTGGCAGCCATTTTGACCGGTCTCGACCTTAGCGAATATGTGTCCGCCATCACAGAGAAATGGACATGAAGGTAGGCGCTGATCAACAAGCAACAAGAGAAGCGAGGCCAATGCTCAGCAGTCGGCTCAATCGATCCAAGGTTGTCGTGGCACCCTTCCAAGGAAATCTACCTTAGCTCCCTGCGGCGAGAGCAGGGCCTATGACGTTGTACTTATGAATGCGGAAGACTAAGACTTCCATCGAGGCCACGGGTGACAAAGGCCCTTGTGCAGCTCTTGCCCAGGTGCCCGGCGTCTGCGTGAAAACGGGCAGTGGGGGTGCAGGTGGCATGCGACGGGATTCAGCACCCAATCACCCAATCGCCCAGGTCACCCAGGTCACCCAAGTCACCTAGCGGCTACGCCACACCCTAGCCGCGGTGTGTGGCTCTGCAGCTTTGTCCCATCTACCTTGGTTCTTACCTTGGGTTGCCTCCCAAAGTTGCTACGAGATCTACGAGTACATATGATATCTTCACGGTGTCACAGACAGCAAGCATGAGCAAGAATGTAGGAAGGATGTCTTTATTGATGCAGTTCACCCTATTGATCTGCAATCAAACCACCCTTAGGTATCGTTGGCATCGTCTGGTATCTCAAAGCTGGTATCATTTCCCTTGACGAGCCCCTTTTGTCTTTCTACCGGAACGCCGCCGTCCAGACCGAATGGATCGCAATGATCTATGCCCTCACTATGTTCGTAAAAGGGTAAAATTTTGTTTCCAAATGCCCTTTGGGCCATGAAAGAATCGAAGCGAAAAGGCGAAGGCACAACAGTGAGTACCACTCGCCAGGCAATGAATGCCTAGAAATGAACGGGGCATGGCTCACGCTCCACAGGTTGTGGGAACGGCCGTTGTTGTCGTTGTTGCGGTGACTGTCGACGTGGAATAGGTCGAACGATGTCCAGGGCCACGGCCATCAGGACCAGGCTCCGCTGCTCACGAAGTCTGGCAGCTGCCTGTGGCTGTGACAGTCTCAGTGACAGTCATGACGATCACAGAGCCACCGCTTCCCGCGCCGCCTGGACCAGCGGGAGCAGGTGTAGTGCCGGCCGGGATGGCCGTCTGGGTCGCTCCAGTCGCAGCACTGGTAAGGGCAGTGGACTCTCCGCCAGGCTGACCGTAGCCACCTGTAGCTGAGCCGACAGGGGTGGCGGTCGTCGCAGTTGGGTAGTTACCGCCAGCACCACCGGTTGAGCCTCCAGTGCCAGCGCCGGCACCAGTGTCTGAGCCGGAACCGGAGCTACCAGAGCCGGAGCTACCAGAGCCGGAGCTACCAGAGCCGGAGCTACCAGAGCCGGAGCTGCCCGAGCCTGAACCACTGCTTCCCGATCCGGTACCACTTCCGGAGCCTGAGCCCGAGTCTGAGCCGGTGCCTGCGCCTGCGGTGGCGGTTGGAACTGAGCCTGCGCCAGTAGCAGTGGCAGTTGTCGTCAGACCTGTGGATCCTGATCCAGAACCGCTGCCAGAGCCTGAACCAGTGCCAGAGCCTGAGCCTGAACCAGTTCCTGATCCTGAGTCAGAACCGGAGTCCGAGCCGGTGCCCGATCCAGAGCCGGTGCCTGATCCAGAGCCGGTGCCTGATCCAGAGCCGGTGCCTGCAGAGCCGGTAGAGGTGGGCGTTGAACCTGTAGCAGAGCCAGTTCCTGAGCCAGATCCCGAGCCAGATCCTGTGCCGCTACCACTACCACCACCGCGCGCACTGCCAGAACCGCCAGAGCAATCAGTGTTAGCGTATTTGGCAATGGCGCCACAGAAGGTGTTGCGGTTGTCCTTGTCCAGAGCGACAGATTCGCCGTTAACGGTGAGCATGTTGACCGAAGCCTTCGTGCTGATGCCGTATAGGTTGACGCAAGAATCTTCGATGCTGATCATGTTGTCCTGGCAGTTGTTTTCATCAACACATTGCTGGCCGTAGTTGTCGAAGAAACTGTACATGC